ATGGTGAAGTTACCAGGGCTCCAGAGGGTTGTCTATTGATAGACCCCAAAGGAGGTGATTCGGGGTGTCCATTCACCCCGTCGGGGTTTTTGGGTCCAGCATAGGAACGATCAGCTCAAGATGATCACACACACTCTGACTCTTGAAGAGCCCCGTTCGTAGCGTCCTTGCTCCTAGTAGCGATGCCAGGAGCCCCTAGTAGCGTTCTTGTTCCTAGAAGTAAGGCCAGGAGCTACTGGTAGCGTCCGGCCTTGGACATACAACATTACAACCTTTAGTGGGGTGATTTGCAAAGGCTGACAAGTATGGCCCAAGCCTCACTGCTTCGATGAAATCCAACAAAGATCGACAAAGAACTTTTGAGTCTGCGAGTCTAACGTTCCCATATTCAGAATAGATGGCAACCTCGTAAAGGTATAGCTTATAACGTCTCGCAAAGAAAAACATGAATGGATGAAAATGGCCTGTGCTATTCGTCGTCACAGGTTGTCCATTTCCATCCATTTCCCCGATGTCCATGCTCCAATGAACGGCAACTAACATATATAAACATATGTGTAGAATGTATAGACCCCCAAATAGAACAGTACGAGTAGAAATAGGACAGTAGATCCCCACTAATGATGTATGTATATGATGTACTAATATTGGAAGCATAGGAAACGTTTGTTTAATCCAGTTTGGAAACGAACAAAATAACACCTGGAACCTCACTCCCATGACCGACTCCAGTGCCATACTGGAGTTCGGCCGTGTTCCACCGCCGCAGCACCACTCTGCTCAAGGTGCACTTGGAGGAGGCGAAAGTTAAGGCTCCAGTTCCGACTAAACAAGGCGTAGCCTGCCTGGAAAAAAAAGGACCGAAAACGGCCTCAAACTGCATGTCCCTGGAAACGCCACACAGCTTCCAAAACGTCCAAAGCTCAGTAGATGCAGTGTCTTCCTAACCTCAAAACGGTCTCCATCAGTTGCAGTAATTTGCGCAGTTTAGTTTTTAGAGTAGAGTTTAGATTTTAGAACCAAAACGACCCCTGGCTTCATCACGCTTGGCTTGTTACTGTTTGGTCCAGTGGCTCTGTTTCTACAGAAGGCTTCAAAGGCTTCAAGCTTCAACCATGGAGCTCAATATCTATTGATCTATTGTCCTGGACACGTTCCAAGGGCAACAAATGCCCCATGCTTTTCAGTTCTTCTGCAGTTCTGCTGTTTGTGCGTCTCCTTGGTGTGCTGCTTTGATCTGTTTTGGCCATCGTGCTCGAACACGACCGAACTGTCAGTAGTCTCGGTCAAGACTCGCTGCCGCAGGGAGTCTCCCTGCAGAAAGGCGCAGTCTTAAAACACAAGGACAAGGATCCGCAAAAACCACCATCGGAACAAACAAACCCAACCACCAGGGCCTTCTTTCGGGGTGGTAGACATGGACACCCCTAACTTAACAGCTAGTTGGGCCTATTTTCATAGACACCCCGAACGAGTCGGGTCCTGGCAACACTTCGATGTAAAAACAGGTCGACGGATGATGCTCCGTCGACCTACGTCCGCAGGTCCGGTCCTGGCGCAGCACCCCGAACAAGCTGCTCTGCACGGCCAGCGCGAACTGTGGCACACCCACGGAGTCCGCCACGGCGTCAACGATGGCCAAGCGGTCCTGGACTTCCAGCTACATCCATTCATCCAGCCATTCATTCATCCATTCGTATCAGATCAGCTCCGAAGATTGACAAAGGTTAGAATACTGGTCATTCACCTGGAGAATGGACCCTCAGAGGGAGTACTTTCCGTCCATTCACGTGCGGTCACGTGGCCACAGCCAACCTCCAGACTGGCCACAGCGAACCTTGAACCTTTACCGCCCGAGGAGGTGTTGCAACGAAACCTGATGGCCAGGCCCAGAGCAACGCCGAGAGCAACGCCTCCAGAGCCGAAGAAACAGTGAACGTTCACCAGTTGCCCTCTAAGTGAGTGGATAATTGAAACAGCAGCCCTGTCACATTCACAGCGACCATCGAAGACCAACAAAATCTGCCAAAACCGCAGCCTGCAAACCAGTTGGAGCCAAAAGCCGGAACTGTTCCGGCCACCGCAGGGTCTAACCTGCTGGCTGCAAAGCCGCGTTGGCACTCTTGAGGCCTCCCCTTTTTGAGGGTGCTCTTCGAGTCGGTCCTGTACAGACCAATCGGTGGTGGGGGCCAAGCTCCGGAGCAGTCACGCCTCCCCCGCACGGGGCACCACGAACATCCCCAGCAAGCGCATTAGCCCATTCGCCTTGCTGTCATACATCGCCAGGCATTAGCCCATTCGATGCGTTGGCCTCAAGGATGTTACACCCAAGCGCCTGCACCCGGCCAGCGGTGCATCAACTGCTGAAACTGAGGAACCTTCAGGGCCTCCCTGACGTACGTCATAGGAAAGAGCCCCTTTTGCAGTTGTCAGGGTTGGCGCCAGAAAAACACCGAAAACATCAAGCCGCCTCCAGCACCGCAAGCCGGTCCCACACGGAGTCGAACGGTCTGAGTCGAGAAGGCCGTCGTTTGCAGCTCCGGAATCGAACGCGTGTGCCGTTGGTGCGCCCGGCGACATGCCGGTTTTCCTCGGTGTGGACGTCTACGGCAAAGACCCAACTTTAGGGAAGGACATAACAGGCTTGTGAAGATAACCACTGAGATGTACAAGTGCCTGGGCGATCTATATGTATATATATATATATTTGTACGCATATCTATATACACGCATATGTATGCCTCATATGCCGAAGCAACTGGTATACTTCCTTGTGGGCAATGAGAAAAAACCAAGCACTTCAAACCATGGCAACTGCACTTCCGCCTGTTACATCTAGCCTGTTCGTTTTGGCCGCAATTGATACCCCAGCCCAAGTTTGGGGTGCTTTGTTTGGACGATTTTGAGTGGCACTTTCAGAAACTGCAGGTGTCCTTTATCATCTTTATCTGGCTCTTGGAGACCAATCCCGCAAGTGGGACACACATATAAAGTACATAGTATAGTACTCTCCGAGTGCTCTCCAGTCTCCCAAAGGAAGCTACCCCATTTGCATACATTTGTCATCTTTGTAGGACATGTTTGCATTGTTAACAATGGCAACACAGTTTTTGTTGCGGTATACCACGTTTTTTTCTACATCGCCGATATCGTCTTCAACTCTTTACCGTTTTGCCAGTGCTTCGTGCATACATGGTGTTGCATTGTTCCGTGCGTGCAGTCGCCACCGGGGAACGACCCCACCCCAACCCGTCCTCCTCGTTGCTCGCCAGGGCCTCCGTGGGCTGGAGCTTCAGCAGTTTGTCCGCCAAGGTCAGCAGCGTTTTGGCCAAGGCAGGTGAAGCATGGACGTTCCTGGGCGGATCTTGTGGATCCGAAAGAAGCGAGGCGAGAAACAAGGAGAAGTTCGAAACATGGGGACTAGGGAGGTACTGTAGTTTGTTGGAGTCCGATTGAATGATGTAAACAGTAAACAGTAAACATGTAGCATCATGTAGCATGTGATGCGTTGCTTCAATTCAAGATCTTCGTGCAAGCGAAGACATTGTGGTCATGTTAAATTGATCGGTCCGTGGCTGGTCAACTGCCCACATGTTGGGACGTGAAGAACATCGAGAATTGATGTGTACTTGAGATACCTTGAGGGACAAAGACATACCCAGACACGACACATGGGACTGCCATAGGAGTGCCGGTCAGTTGGGGTGGTTTGGGGGATCAATGTAGGCATCTATGGCAGTCCCATGGAGTGTCTGGGATACACTTAGACTTACAAACAAGGATATATGAATGGCGAAGGAGTGACGGTGCCCCCCCACTGTGATGATGTGCTGAAGGAAGGCCCTGCCTCAAAACTTATTTGTGCAAGTGCCGTTTCAGGCAACTTGTTCTTCAAGAACAGTTGCATCATTCAAAGACTGTAAATCTGACCACATCCCTCAACACGTCTGATTCTCGTCTCTTTTGAAGGCATGGTGGATATCCCGTCCCTTAGACTCAGACTTGACTTCGGGCACGTCTGTTGTCCTTCCACCAAGAGCACATGTCCAATAAAGGGCCCCAAATGGCCTATCTGGCGAGCAAAGAAACAAAGCTATGTAGACTGGCGAGAGAGAAGGTGCGAAGGCAGCTCCGCAGTTGTCCAAACTATACTTGGCTAGGGTCCTCCACACATCAAATCAACAACGAAAAACGCTTTACGTCAACAACCTGGGCGATCCCCAAAAAAAGACAGCTCCTGGATGGGTCACTTTCGTTCTCTATCGAGTCTCGCTCCTTTGAGAACACCAATCACCTCCCCTGAACTCCCTTATCGAATGATCACTCTGCCCACACCCGTTCACACTCTTTGACCCAACGAAATGAACACCCGCCCCCGCACCGGTCCAAGCCGTTCCATTCACCCACAAACCAGGCGCTGGCCAAGCAGGACCCCATCCTTGGTCGCCACGTAGAAGGGAAGCTCTAGAACCTTCGCGAAGACCGCGAGCCCACACGGCGCGAACGGTGCAGTTGGCGCGGCGCTGTACACAGTGAGGGGGTCGGGACTTGGGAGTGATCTTGAAGTGCACTGGCCTGGAGAGCGTGGAAAGGGTTAGACTTCTAGAATCATCTGGAAGGACAAAGCCCCTGGAAGGCAATGTGTTTGTTGAGAGGAGCGTACAGTGTCTATATAGTCTATAATATTTAACTATATACTGGGCGGCTGCGCTAAGTCACCCCTTCCCTGAAAAAGTCACCCCACTGCATGGGCACACGCATTCAAGAAAAAGTCACCCCATTGGGAAAAGTCACCCCATAGACTTTGAATCACCATGGGCACACAGTTTACGTTGCCAATATGTCAAAAGTATGCCGTGAACAAACTCTCTGAGCAGACGGAGTGACCATCTATGTTTGGAATGAATCGGGGTCTTCTTTTGCAGAAGGAACTCGATGGGCACACTGTTTGATGTCATGTTTCTCTTCCTCTTGCGGTGCAAGCATGCAGGCTGCTTTTTCCCCCTCACTTCTTCGGCTTTGGTGCTTTAGAGAACATGTGGCTTCTGTTGGCCGACGTGCTCGAGCGCCAAGCTTCTCTGCCTGACTTAGCCACTTCCATGTTGAACACATTGTGCAAAGGCTTCGACTTTGTACATTGTGGCTTCAAGGTCTGTCGGACAAAGTAATATGCCAGGGTGGATACCTCTGGATGATGCTTCTTTGCAAAGCTGCACGTCATATACCCCACGCAGCCTTCTACCGTGAACAAATCCCACTCAGTCTCACTGTCGCAAGCGTCATCCTCCTAGGCAAGAGACAGAAAGAATGTTTCATCAATCTCTTCATTTGGATTTCTTTCGGTTCTAAAAAACACAAACTCTCCTGTGGCCAACTTAAAGAAATATGCAATACAAAACAAAAGCCGTTTCATTCCAGTAGGTCGGCTTCCTCTGGCTCTGCTTCTGCTGCACACGCCTCCGCCTTTGCCTGCTTAGGTGCAGATTGAGCTGCATCACCTGGCTGCGCGTCCTCTTCGCAGAGTTTCCTCTTCCTCATCTGCTTCATCAAGTCCCCCGACCAACGAGCCAGATGAGCCTTGGTTGCGCCTTGGACTGTCAGCAACGCACCTTTCACATCTGCTATTGGAGGCTGCTCACGTGTGTAGCCGCTGTGCTTCGCTCCACGACTCACAGCCTCAGCAACACTGCAGTGATTCTGGTTGCCATCGCCACACCAAGCGCACTTGGGATATGCACTGGGAGTCATTTTCCCGCAGCTTGCGCAGGCAGTCTTCTCAGGAGCCCGGCGGTATCCAACAGGCGCTTGCAGAACTTGCTTGCCTTCTTCGGTCTTGCTCTGCATGTCAGACTTCGGCACTATGGATCGAAAGAGCTGTGCGCCGCGATCTCCAAGAACACGAGACCTTCCCACTGCTTGTTTCTGCACCAGCCCTCATTTTGCAAAACCGGCTGTGATGTATCGAGCTGTATACGCTTCGTCCCACACTTCGTGGCACATATCAAGCGCAGCGAGCTGGGAGAGCCCTCAGGCCTCAGGCCAACGCCGCCCAACGACCAAACAGCCCTCAGGCCAAAACATGCTGGCTCTGATGTTTTCTCTCAAAACGTGAAGAATCATGAAGATACACCTTGGAAAAAATGTCGCGCCAACAGGCCGGCCCTGCACAGAGCTGGCTGCTAGACTGGCGCTCTTGCAAGTCAACTCCTTCAGTTTCTGTCAGGCATGGATCTGATGTACTCAAGTAAGTGCCTTGCAAGATCTCCCTTCGAGCCTGCCACCGATGTAACTCGATGACTCCGCTTCCGGCTTGGGTCATGAACGGCAATGCTCCTCACTTCTCCGGGCCATCGGCCCTGCTTGAAAGCAACCCAGTGAGGCCACTCAGACCTCTTTTTGTTGTTGCGTGAGGCCCACAAGCAAGCTGCACACGTAGCGCTTTTGGCCAACCATTTGCCGTCCTTCCCAGAAGGTAGATGCCAAGGAGCAGCACCGCTCTGTGGTGGCCATGGCTCGCCACACAGCTTGCAAGGTCCACCTTCTGTCTTGCCACTGCGGTTTTGGACCTTGCTGTTCAAGATCACTCCTCTTCGACCTTCAACAGCTCTTCACAGGTAGCCTTCTCACACAGACGCTTGAGTCTGAGCAGAGTCGCTTTCGATCCTCCACTGCCATCTGAGCCGCTTGAAGCTGCAAGAAGCAAATCACAATAGGCACACCCTCAAAAAAACAATAAATTAAAACAAGACCAACATACAAAATCCGCATGTGCAAACATGCAAGCCCGCAAGGGCACACTACAATGAGACGACTTTTTACGAGATGAGACGACTTGACCCCTGGACCTAGTATATATACGTATGCATTACAGTATACATTAAACACAAAAATAAAAACGAGTTACTCCCTTGGTCCCACTACTATGTCTCACTCTACTTTGATATTCAACAAACTCAAAAGGGGATGTATGCAAATAGCCTACTGCACTGCACCTGCTCATCCGTGCTTTCTCCGTGCGCGCGGAGAAAGGCACCATGCCATCTGTGTGACCCAACTTTGTCGGCAAAATTTCGCCGTGTGGCACTGGTGCGGAGGACTTCGTAGATGCACCAAATGCGAGTCAAAGGCATGGCCTCCTCGTCCATGACCATGACCTGAGTTGCACTGGGCCAGTGCCAAGGCAAGGCCACTCGCATCGACACCGGGCATCGGACGATCGAACTCTTTTTCAAAGTGAAGCGCCTGAAAAATTACAAGATGCTCATGGACACCCTCGCTGAAATAATCATGGAAGTGGACGTTCTGGCCCCGAAAGGAAGACGATTTTCCTTTACCAGGTGATTGTGGCAGGGAGGTTATCTCTCCCAACAACTCCACACTCTCTCCCACTCTCATGTTGGGAGGGTAGTCTTATATTTCTTTGGCCTGGCTCGTTGTGATGACTTGCCAATCCTCCCAACACCCTTCCAGCTTCGGGCGTCGCTCGAAGGGTGGCACATGGGTAAACAGCCAGTGAACCGAGACCTGGCCATCCTTGTAATGTAGACGGATTTATTTCAAAAACACCTGCGATACTTTCGTCACTCTGCAGACACTCTTGCAGGACATTGTTGTAGGACACTCTTATGCGAAAATATTGTGGAGTCTTGTGCAGCACTCTTGCGGGACACTCTTGTGGGACACTCACGTACGACACTCACGTACTCAAATGTAATTGGGCCACGTAAGTTGACAGCTCTGAGGCCACAGCTCCCAGAAGCTGCTCTTTGTACTACATTTGTACTACCGAATGGCCAGTTCTGAGGCCACAGCTAAAGTTGCCAGTTCCGAGGCGTGAGAGACCAGAAGCCATTTGTACTACCAAGTGGCCTGTCCTGAGGTCACAGCTCCTCCCAGGAGCTGCTTCCCACAATACATTTGTGCTACAAGTTGCTGCACTGTTACAGGACACTCATGCATGACATTCTTGTTAGACACTCTTGTAGGACACTCTTGTGGGACACCCTCTGGGACACTCTTGTGGGACATGGGACACTCTTGTGGGGGACGCTCTTGCGGAACACGGGCACTCTTGTGGGAACCAAAAGCGCCATTTGAGATATTTGAGCTGAGACCTGTCATGAAAACACAGCTTCGAAGCAACAGCCTGAAACGCAAATCACAATCTCACAGCCACATCCCAGACCCTAAAGACACCACCCTCCAAACGCCAATCCCAATGTGACTTCGCAGAAAACTGCCCATCTCACAAAACACTGCGCCTGCGCAGTGAAATCATCATCCACACTTCATCCTCTCACGTTTCCACACGTTTCCTCGCTATGTCACACGAATCTGACACGTTATGCTTCCATCCAAAACCCTCTCCAAAAGCTTCCCCAAGGTGAGCGTCGTAGCGCCCTACTGCGAACGGTTGACAACGGCAACGCTCAAACAACGAGTCGCGAGCAAGGCTCTACCCCAAGACCCCCAGAGTTAAACGAGAACCCTTTGCTACGCATTCGGGAAAAACTGTATATGATTGTATATGGAAATGCAAAGCCATTCTGGTATAGGCTTTGTTTATCAACCGTCTGCGTGATACCATCATTTTTCGGTGGGTCCGAGCCTATCGAGCCTTGTAGCGAAGACAGCTGGGATCCTGGGATCCATCATAGAGTTCTTCGACAGGAAAGTCCAAGGGGAACAAGTTGATGAAAGCTGTCCACAAAAATCCCATGGAATGGCATCGCCCAAGATCACCAAAAATCAGAACGTCGTAAAAAAAGGTCCCTTTAAAACAAGCTGTAAAGACATGCAAAGAGAAGAAAGCACGCCACCCAGTCCAGTCCGATGTGAATTACGGTTCCAAGAGGCCACCGCTTTGCAGCTGCGACTGGCCAACGCGCGCTCGAAGGGTGAAGTCTCCAAGGATTGTCCCAGGTTCACCTGAGTCGGCTGCCCCGGTGGCTGCGCCCGCTTCGGCCGTCCCAGTCACTTTTCTTCAACAGTGAGAAGCTAAGTAAAGCAAAGGTGGGCAAAGACCGGAAGATCTGAACGACCAGTGTTTCTGGCAGTTCTGGGTTCTTATCTTTCTCAAGAAAAATGTTCAAGGATGTTCATGTTCTTTCTCCCACTGTTCAATCTTTGACAAATGCTTTCGCGCATGGTCATGAGTCATAATCGTTGCGAAAACAAACAGCCACTCAGGAAGGACTTGTCACGCGCTTTTGAGTTTTGTATGTTGTCTTTTTCTGCAGGCTGGTCTATTTGTTAGCATTGCCAGGTTTCAACCGGGCGTAGCATTACCAGTTGGCAAAGGAAAAAAACGGCAAATGGATTGTAATGATTGGCAAAGGACAAAACAGCAAATTGATTGTAATTCATTCCTCTGTGATCTTGGCTAAAGCATGCTAAAGCCCTTTCTCTGGGCACCTGTTCACTTTGGATAGCCGGAGTGAGGAAACACCAAAACATCTTGATGCAGCCAAGGCCGCAGTCCATTGGGCATTGGCGAAGCTGCAAATCCAGAACCTGAGCACCGCTGGGCACCGCTGCACCGACGTGACGGGACCCGTCGGGTGGACGACGTGAGGGTCGTCCCGTCGGAACGGTCGAGTCGGAACGCCGCAGACGACGTGACTTCCCCAATCAGCGAAACTGTTTGAAGATGTTGATGGAACGACAGGCAGAACTGCTCAAGCCTCCCGGTTCACGAGCATCCCCCATGAATTGTTGTTTTTCTTACTGTGATGAGTTAGTATTCAAAAGTTGATTCCTTGCGCGCTCGCCCCCCCAGTCCACCCTTGCATTTTGGACGTTCCTCGGAACCTGAAACCCTAAACCTTCCCATGTCCGTCAAGGCACACCAAGGACTCCGGGTCACGATCAAACCTCATTCCAGACAATGGGCTGCTTGCAAGTCCCTAAGGCTCCAACTACCTCCTCAGAACGTGGTTAGACCCCCCCTAACCCACCTCAACCACCTTCTCAGGAGTTAGGCCAGGAGCCGAAGGGATTGTCAGTGTTCGTGAAAGTTTCCGCAGGTGCCTATTGGTGGCATGGATCCAGTGACTCCAGTGTTTGAGGCGGCCCAATGCAGAAAAAAGGCCGCCTCAGAACCGATCCAACGTGGAAGATGGAAAGGATCGTTGCCCTTTGTTGATTTGAAGGATCAACGGGCAAACACCTCCATGCGAGAAAATTGGGTGGGTTGGGTGATTTCGCCCAAGCAAGTTGCTGAGCAAATAGCAAAGACAAACACAGGTTTCCTGCGGATCTAATGAGCCTTGACCCGGCATTGGGAGAAAACGACGTTGCCAACAATGAAGAACCTTGGACCCCTACGATACCTTGGAGGGTGTGGAGATTTATTCAAGAGCAGGTGGGGGGGCTTCCTGGAAGAAAGCTGAGTTCGTTCAAAACATGTCAAAACAACTGGTGCGAGGAACACTGCGGAGTTTTTGGGTGGTCCCCAACAAGGGAATCATGGCGCCAGCAATTGCAAAGGCATGCAAAGGCACGGCCGGCCATGTGGCCAAATGTTCTGTGAACCTTTCTCAGCATCAACTTTTCAGGAGAACCATTGATGACACGGAGACGACCATCTTCGTACCATGAAGAAAACCCGTCTTGTTCAGTTCAAACATGGGTGTTGATCTAAATTCCTTTATCTGGGATCCGTCATTTTAGCCGGGCAAAATTTACTTTAGCCAAACTTTCGCCTTCCTGTGTTTTATCTTTCGCCGAAGTATGTTGTATTTATGTGTGCCACGTATATTGTATGATGGATGTCAATTTTGTTCACGTCAATGGCTTCACTGTTTGTCAACATGCGTCTTCTACTTAACTGTTGACACCCTGTACGTCTCTTTTGTTTCTCGTGGGTGTCAGCAAGAATCAAAGTTGCAAGAATCATTGTATAGTAGCCGGTCACTCAGACTTACTCATAATGGACTGGGGGTCAGATGTGGCAGGGTGAACTTTCGCCAATCTTGAGCTGAACTTTCGCCAAACTTTCGCCTTTTGCGGAGTAGAGTTATGTGGCAAAGCCGCCCCCCCCAAAGCAGGAGTAGTGGTAGTGGTAGTGGTAGTGGTCGTGGTGGTGGTGGTGGTGGTGGTCGTGGTCGTGGTCGTGGTCGTCGTAGTAGTAGTGGTAGTGGTAGTGGTAGTGGTAGCAGTAGTAGTAGCAGCAGTAGCAGGCGTAGTAGTAGCAGCAGCAGGAGTAGTATATAGTAGTCGTAGTCGTAGTGGTAGTGGTGAAGTAATGGTAGTGGTAGTGGTAGTGGTAGTCGTAGTCGTAGTAGTAGTAGTAGTCGTCGTCGTCGTCGTCGTCGTCGTAGTCGTAGTGGTAGCAGTAGCAGTAGCAGTAGTAGTAGTAGTAGTAGTAGTAGAAGTAGTAGTAGTAGTAGTAGTAGTAGTTAGTTGTTGTTGTAGCAGCAGCAGCAGGAGTAGCAGTAGGAGTAGTAGTAATAGCAACAGCAAGAAAAAGAACATCTTTAGTTTTTAGCCATATCTTTCGCCAAAAAACCAATTTACTTTCGCGAACTCGAGAAACAACTTTCGCCAAATGAGGTTTTGACATGTTCCAGGGTCATCGTAGTCAACGCTATGTCTTAGGACCTTTAAATCGACAACCACATAGCTTTGCGTGAAGAATGCCTGGCGGTCTTTCACCTCATTTCATTGAGGAAATTCACTTCGCGATCTTCGAAAGAACTCCAACGGGCGACCTTCGTTCACCACCTCGAACTCCAACGGCCAACGGCCAACCCTCCCCCCCGCGCAAAAGCACACGGCCACACGGAGAGGGCTTGCCCCGTTTCCAAGTGGCAACTTGCTGCGCACCATCTCCTGCGCCTTGGTCGGTGAGCGCAAACTGTTGATTGAAAGACCAGCCTGGCTCAAAAAGCAAGCATTGTTCCAAGACTTGGAGAAGTTAGATGTAGACTGTAGACTGCTAATTGATTGTAATATACAGTCCTTCCTTTTGGATTGTAAAACTTCTCCATACGGGAATGAATCAACATATGTGGTCGTCCACTGGCAGTTGTTGCGGGACCAACCACACACTCTTCGCCGCTCT